TGATATTACTAGTACTGATTCGATAGCTTTAAGAGTTGCGCCTAGTTTTTTGTTGTCAGTTGGGTTTATTCTATCAATTAAGTATTGTAATGTTCATTGGATATCTCGTCTTATATCGTAAGATTGCCTTTGTTTTAAGATATTTATGTTTTTGTTTTTTTGTCTGGGGTGAAATTGGTCTTCTGAATAAGGTGTTTTATCCTTAGTTTTTTGTATATATTCATATTTAAATTTATAATACAGAGTATCTTCAAAGTTGTTTAATAATACTTCTATTGAATTATCTAGATCTCTTTCGTATTTTTCTAGTGATTGTAATATTGATGACATTTATAAATTTATAATTGAATTTGATATTATCCAAGTTTCTACTTGGGTTATTAATTGGTTAATTTGTAATATCGCTAGTGATAAATCCAATGGCCAATAGTCAATATTATTTCTTTGTAACTCTGGTAATTGATTGTTTGCAGGTGGTAATCTGTTAAATATGTTTTGTATCCAGGTAGATATTTCTGTCGGTATATCTTCTTCTTGTACTTGTGTTGCTAGAGTTCTAATACTATTTTCTATTATATTTTGGTAGAGTTGTTTGTCTTCGTTTGTATGCACAGTTCTTCTTGTTGACAATGCTGCTTTAAGTTGTGTATAAATAGTTTTTATTCCTAGTATTCTAAAGTATAGGTTGGTCATCAGTCAAAGGTGTAGTAAGTATTAAAGTATTTTGTTAATTTTGGTAATTATTTCTAATATTTTTTCTTTTTGATTAAGATATTCTTGATTTATTAATTCTTTTAGCAGGGATGTAATATTTGTATATTTCATTCTTGGGAGGTTGTCTAATATTTGTTGTAATGTTTCTTGTTGGTTTTCTTCGATTGTTAGTTCAATTAATTCAGTCTGTTTATGTTTATAGTATCTCAGTCTTAATATATTATAGTTAGCTTTTAGGATTGTTTTTAGATTTTCAAAATTTTCAAAGAATAAATATTCTTCTTCAAGTTGGGGGTCTATTTTTTGAAAGCTTTGTAAGTATGTTATTTGTATTTGTTCAGATATGTCTGGATTTGGATTAATAAGGTATTTATATATTTGTTGTTCGAGATTTGAGCAATTATATTCCTTTGCATTGAGTTTCCAATATATAAATGTTAATCCTTGTTTATGTATTTCAATAGTGTTGGTGTCAAGTTGTGTTCGTAATTTTTCAGGTATTTCTATCTTTTCTTTAAGAGTTGTAATAATATTTTTATATTGAAGTAGTATGTGCATTTAATTCTCGAAGTTGTTTTCTTTCTTGAATATAGGTGTCCTTATTTTGGTTATATCGTGATATGATTTCTTGTGATTGTGATTCTTGTTCTTCTACTGTTAAATTATCTGTTGGTTGTATTCGATATTCTTGAAGTTCAGTTATCACTTGGAATAGTTCGTGATATCTTTTACAGTGTGATATTTGTTCAAGAGTTTTATTGATTGTAATGTGATTTTCTACTTCGTATAAACAGTAAAGTGATATCCCTTCTCTTGTTAGGAAGATAATTTGACTAATATCTTTTTCGTCAATTATTCTTTCAAGATCGTTTTGTTCTACGTGTACTATAATTGTTTTGATAATTATTTGTTGTATGTATTTTAATTGAGTAGGTATCTTGGTATAGTCGTAGGTTATATTAGGTCTTTTTATAAAGCTTGTTTCTTTTGCTTTAATGAGTAAAGGTATTCTTCAAATAGGTATTGTTGTTTGATTTCAACTACTTCGTTAAGATATTCTTCAAATAAGTAATTTGATTTATTTCTGTATTGAATTTCTTTTTCTTGAATTAACTTTTTAATTTTCTTTTGATTATTTTCTATGTACACAGGGTCTAATGTGTATCCTGGTTTAGGTCCTCTTTTCTTAGGTTTTTTAAATGTGCACGATTTAGATTGTAATGTACAGTCTTCACAATTGTTGCTTGAATTAAATTTTATACACTTAATATGTAGTATTTGACAATTTATACAAGCTTGCGTAGCATATAGTTCGTCTATGTATCATTTATATCGTGGTTGTCTTGGTGACAGTCACTTTCTTCTTCAGAAGTATCTTGTGTTCCGTCAAGTACTTCGTAAAGTTTATCAAAGGTATGTTGTATATTTAGAGCGTTGAAGATTGTTTTTGCTTCTTC